TAGGTGCATTCAATTTGAAATATGGTATTAGAGATGGTTTCGGAAATGTGTACTACAATTGTACGAAAATTACTAAATTGTACTAAGATTGATATTGGGCGAAGGAATAGGCCTGGAATCCTCTAATGTACTATTGAGGTCTCTGTTGATATCCGGAATTAAGATATGGTGGTGTTTTTGACAATGTGTACCATAATTGTACCAAAAGAATTAATTGGTACTAAATTTGGTTTTGGGTAAAGGAAAAGAGCCGAAACCGTAAGATTTTATATTGAGATTACTGTTGGTGTGTAGGATAGGGATATGGAACGGTTTTGGAAAAGTGTACCACAACTGTTCGTAAAGCACTAAATGAAACTATATTTGCTATTGAGTGAATGTATAGAGCTGAAATCCTGAAATTTGACATTTAGGTCTCTGTTGGTATCTAGTGTTGAGATCTGTTGCTTGTTTTGCAAATGCGTAATATAATTGTTCGAAAAGTACTAAATGTTACTGAATTTATTACTGGGTGAAGAGATAGTGGTTGAAATCTGAAATTATGTGTTTGGGTCGCTGTTCATGTGCAGCTTGGTGGTTTTGAAAATGTGTACTATTGTTGTATGTTGGAGGGATAGGGCTTTATGATCCTTTTGGTTATTAAAAATATTGACCCTTTGTGGGGGATGTACCAGAAAGAATGGCCCGATCCCTACCATATTTGTAACAGAGCTTGTGTGTTTATGGAAATATTAAGATGTGCCAAGTCCGAATGGAATCGGATGTTAATTTGTGGGGAAGGTACCAGAAGGAGTGGACTGATACTACCCATCATCACACCAGATCTTGGATTAATAAAATTATTGTGTTGTGTGAAATTTGAAGACAATTGGGCTCTTATGTCTCATTTTATAAGAGTTATAATTATTCAAAATTTTGATCCTTTGTGGCTAAGGAACTTGATGGAGGGGAGCGATATTGTCCATTTTTGCACCTGACCTAGCACTAATACAAATAATAAAATACTCCGTTCGGGAGTTATCGTTTCGGACGGACGGACATCGCTAGATCGGCTCCATTTGTCCTGAACGGATGAGGCACATTTTGGCCGTATCCAATGATATGTATACTCCATGTAGCCATATGGCTGAGGGTATAAAAATGTTGTCTAACTGCAAAATTTGTAATAAAAGGCCTAAGATGACCTTCTGGAACGATTTTAATATTTTAAATTGGGCTTTTCGCTGACGAAGTAGCTAAGGGAGTAACCCATTGGTTGGAAACTTGAGGTTTCCACTGGGTCCAGCGTAAATATGCAATATGTCTTCCCACCCCATATGATACCTCATTCGCAAGTAGACACGTTTGCAAAAAGTCAAATATTCCATGAAAATCTAAGGAAGCATCCGAATTGACATTTCTTAGTATTTTTGTCTCAATATGTTAATTGAAACGGGTTCGTATGTGTATTTTTCCTGGATGCATTGTTAGCCTTTACAATGCTTCCTGCTGATTTTCACTCCAAAATAGTCTATTTTGCTTAATTACGGAACATCTAAAATCAACTAAAAGTTTACGAAAAGTACTAAAATGAGTGGAGGATAGAAGCACCAAAGGGTTTTTGGAAAATCGAACTTTAAGGTAACGAAAGGTTCCAAAATGGTACTAAACTTCTAAAATGACACTATTTGGTGTTATGTGAAAGGATAAAACTAAAAACTTGGAATTTGGTATGAGAATCAAGATTGAAAACTGAGTTTAATATTTAAAGATGGGTTTGAAAATGTGTAGAAAGTGTGTTATCTTTACAAAATGGTACTAAATTTGGAACAAGTTGGTGTTGGATGAACGGATGAAGCTGGAATTGGAAATTTTTGTATTGGGGTCCCTGTTGGTAGTAGGTTTGTGATAAAGAGGTGATTTTGAAAAGTACTCGAAAGTACTAAATAGTACTATATTTGGTGCAATTCCGTATTGAGTGTACAGATAGTGCTAAAAAAATTAAAATTTGGTATAAGATTCGAGACTGTGAAATATTTTTAATATATGACGGTGGTTTTGGAAATGAGACACCAAAAGTACTAAATAGTACTATATTTGATATAATTTGGTATTAGGTGAACTGCTTAGGCTGGAATTTTAAATTTTGTATTAGGTCCCTGTTGACGGTAGGTTTGTAATAATGAGGTTGCTTTGGCACTATGTACTGCAAGTGCGCGAAAGGTACTAAATAGTATTCTATTTGGTATTAGGTGCATTCAATTTGAAATATGGTATTAGAGATGGTTTCGGAAATGTGTACTACAATTGTACGAAAATTACTAAATTGTACTCAGATTGATATTGTACGAAGGGATAGGGCTGGAATCCTCAAATATACTATTGAGGTCTCTATTGATAACCGGAATTGAGATATGGTGGTGATTTTGACAATATGTACCATAATTGTACCAAAAGAACTAATTGGTACTAAATTTGGTATTGCGTAAAGGAAAAGAGCTGAAACCGTAAGATTTTATATTGAGATAACTGTTGGTGTGTAGAATTGAGATATGGAACGGTTTTGGAAATGTGTACTATAATTGTTCGTAAAGCACTAAATGGAACTATATTTGTTATTGAGTGAATGTATAGAGCTGGAATCCTGAAATTTGACATTTAGGTCTCTGTTGGTATCTAGTGTTGAGATTTGTTGCTTGTTTTGCAAATGCGTAATATAATTGTTCGAAAAGTACTAAATGTTACTGAATTTATTACTGGGTGAAGAGATAGTGGTTGAAATCTGAAATTCTGTGTTTGGGTCGCTGTTCATGTGCAGCTTGGCAATATGGAGGTGGTTTTGAAAATGTGTACTATTGTTGTATGTTGGAGGGATAGGGCTTTATGATCCTTTTGGTTATTAAAAATATTGACCCTTTGTGGGGGATGTACCAGAAAGAATGGCCCGATCCCTACCATATTTGTAACAGAGCTTGTGTGTTTATGGAAATATTAAGATGTGCCAAGTCCGAATGTAATCGGATGTTAATTTGTGGGGAAGGTACCAGAAGGAGTGGACTGATACTACCCATCATCACACCAGATCTTGGATTAATAAAATTATTGTGTTGTGTGAAATTTGAAGACAATTGGGCTCTTATGTCTCATTTTATAAGAGTTATAATTATTCAAAATTTTGATCCTTTGTGGCTAAGGAACTTGATGGAGGGGAGCGATATTGTCCATTTTTGCACCTGACCTAGCACTAATACAAATAATAAAATACTCCGTTCGGGAGTTATCGTTTCGGACGGACGGACATCGCTAGATCGACTCCATTTGTCCTGAGCGGATGAGGCACATTTTGGCCGTATCCAATGATATGTATACTCCATGTAGCCATATGGCTGAGGGTATAAAAATGTTGTCTAACTGCAAAATTTGTAATAAAAGGCCTAAGAAGACCTTCTGGAACGATTTTAATATTTTAAATTGGGCTTTTCGCTGACGAAGTAGCTAAGGGAGTAACCCATTGGTTGGAAACTTGAGGTTTCCACTGGGTCCAGCGTAAATATGCAATATGTCTGCCCACCCCATATGATACCTCATTCGCAAGTAGACACGTTTGCTAAAAGTCAAATATTCCATGAAAATCTAAGGAAGCATCTGAATTGACATTTCTTAGTATTTGTTTTGGACTGAGATCAGAAATCAGACATCGATAACTTATGTGCCCCTCAAAAAATTCCATATTCTGAATAATCGTAATATACAAAAAAGTCAAAATTTTAATGAATTACTTATTTAACAATCCGGGTTCAGATTGTTATGTCATAAGGAATCATAAACCCCCATAAGCCATCCCAATATCTCTCCAATCAGATTTGGGACAAATTATACATAAAACATTCAATTTTCTTCAATAATTTCAAAATGTTCACTTGTACGCCCAACTGACGTTAGCTCAATATATATGTACACATCCTTTTCAGATTGTATGCTTATATGGATTCTCACAAACACATATGAATGTAAGTTTGTGTGAATATATTTGTTAATGTCATTGGGATCTGTGTTCACTTTTACACTTTTGTTCAGATTTTAATTAATGTTATGTTATGGCATTCGGCAAGTTAATGCTGTTGGTTTCATATCGGAAACTGAAAGTATCCAATACACAGATAGTTTCACACTTCTGCAGACATATTCAGTTACACAATGCACAAAAACATACTCACACACATATACGTATATGAGCCGTGTTCAGTTGACCTCTCTCTCTCTCTCTCTTTGACATGGAAATGAGTGTAAGTTTTTACACTTATGATGCTAATTTGAAGCAATTGCATCCTGGAAGCCATATCCTCTTACAGTAGATACCATCATCATTTCATTGGTATCATCATTTGAGCTGGTCGTCTGCCTGACTGGACGACCAGAGAAATGTTCACAAATAGTTTTATGAATGACTATGACAATGATGTTTGTAGCAAGCGAAAGACAGAACTCATTCCTATTTGTGTTGCTCTGCCCCTCTGCATTGCCTTTCTATGTTCTCTTCATCGCTGGCCCCAAAAATATCCAGAACACACCACACAACGACTAACAATTTGCATTTTAATTAAAACTTTTCCTATGGTTATGACCATTACCGTCCAGCCTGATGAGAATGGGTTTTGCTTTGGAATTTTCACAAATTCTAATTTAGATAAATGTGTTTTCAAAAGTATTTTTGGTTTGTTGGTTCTGGTGTTGCTGCATTTTTGCAGATTTTCAAGGAGCTAATTATGAGATATGGATGTCATTTACAGATATTAACAAAGGAGGTTGTGTGTGTCTGATGTAAGGCCACTTTTAAGATATAAATTAATTGATAGGCTTCATTTTGACATTTGTTTAGATATTTTGTAAATTTATGGGCTATGAATCGTTGTAATCATTGTTATCTTATTACGGTTAATTAATGTGAGCTTATATTAAACAATGTTTATAATTTGCCTTAAAATATGAGTTAAAGGGGGTTAAATGATAACGAAACTTACCACTATGTATACAAGAGTATCATCCAAATCGGTCCCGATTTATCAGCTGTAAGACAAGAAAGGAAAATGTTAATCCATAAGCATAGAAAGCAGAATAATAAAAATAATGAATTTTCAATTTGTGGCAGATATTTTGATATTGAATGTAATACATGGTCAACTTTCCACAGAGAAAAATAAAATCAAAAATCAAGATTTATTCCTGGCCTTTTTTTGATTGAGTGATGGTAAGAAATATTTCCTTTCCCACATTCACCCTTGTTATACCATCCACCATAAGAGGGTGGTGCTACTTCGAAAAATACAGACAATTTTATGCAGACTTCAACTTTTGGCATATAATTACTGGATCAATTAATTACCGTCAAGATTTAACGGTATGTCCTGATTTTTTAGATCATAGTATATACAGGGGGTTTTTATGAGTTTTTTATACCCTCAGTCATATGCCATTTGATACGGCCGAAACGTGCCTCATCGACGTAATGATTTTAGATCCCAGGTATCTTTGGACCAAATCCGTTTTAAGACTTCCGTCCGTCTGACTAGTGAGCATGATAACTCTCGAATGGATTGACCCAAAATTGGTACATCGTAATTTTATTGCCGAACTTATATCGATTTCGGAGAAGGGCAATATCGGTCCTCTTTTTCTGGTACCTCCTTTACAAAATGTCAACATTTTCAAAAAAATAATTTACTGCACACAAAGAGAAAGGATAATCCGATTTTGTTCCAACTTTGTAAATCATAATATTTGCATTAGCGCTAGGTCTGGTTCAAAAATGCACAATATCGGTTCACTCCATGAAGTACATCCCTAATAAAGGCTCAAAATTGTGAATATCCATGAAGCTCATAAAACGCGATTCCATTTTTCAATATTTTCATCAGCTCAAGATCTGTTAAAAAGATGGTAGAGATCGGACCAGTCCTTCTGGAACCTTCCCACAAAGGGTTAAAATTTTGAATAACCAAAACAATTATAAAATCTCATAAAACGCGAAATTAACATCCGATTTCATTCAAAATAGGTACATCTCAATATTTCTATCAACACAAAATGTGTCATAAAGATCGTACAGATCCGACCATTTCTTCTGGTACCCTGGTACCCATTTCTTCTGAAGTTCAAGATTTTGAATAACCAAAATAATTATAAAATCTAAAATTAGCATCCGATTCTTTTCAAAATTCACATATCCCATTATTTCTACAAAACACAAGATCATCGCCAAGATGGGATATAAACAAAATGTTCGATTTTCTTGTAATTTTGCTAATACCAAAAGTTTTATCTTTACAAGACGAAGTATGAAAATGGGATACTTCTGTTGACTATATCTTGTACATCACGTACATTTTAGCATTTTCTAAAAATTATCGCATGTCTCATATAAAGTGAAAGAAGTCCAAATCTGGCATGTCGCAATATTTATATCATATTAATTTAGGTCCGATATGAAATGGACAATATTGGCCCATTTCTTCGGAACGTACTCCATATTTTAATCAGCTCAAGATCTGTTATAAAGATGGTAGAGATCGGACCAGACCTTCTGGAACCTTCCCACAAAGCGTTAAAGTTTTGAATAACCAAAACAATTATAAAATCTCATAAAACGCAAAACTAACATCCGATTTCATTCAAAATTGGTACATCTCAATATTTCTATCAACACAAAATATGTCACAAAGATCGTACAGATACGACCAATTCTTCTGGTACACTGGTACCCATTTCTTCTGGAGTTCAAGATTTTGAATAACCAAAATAATTATAAAATCTAAAATTAGCATCCGATTCTCTTCAAAATTCACATATCCCATTATTTCTACAAAATACAAGATCATCTGCCAAGATGGGATATATCGATGCACTTCTTCTGGTAGCTCCCCACAAAATGTTGAAAAACAAAACGCTCATAAAACGCGAAGTATTCCAAATCTCTTTAAATTTCACACTTACAAACATTTTTGCTAAGACAAGATCTGTTGTGGTATATATCATAACTGCGAACTCCACAATTTTCAATTATTTTATCTGTAATAATTTGCGAAACAAGTCAGCGATTCTTTACAAGTTGCTATATTTTAAAATTTCTCTCAACCAGAAACCAGAGATGAATATAGAATTTATCTAAATTTACGATTTTGCATAAAATTGGATATAAATGTTCGAATTTCTTGTAATTTTGCTAATACCAAAATTTTTATCTGTACAAGACGAAGTATGAAAAAGGAACACTTCTTTCGACTATATCTGGTACATCACGTACATTTTAACATTTTCTCAAAATTATCGCATGTCTCATATAAAGTGAAAGAAGTCCAAATCTGGCATGTTGCAATATTTATATCATATTAATTTAGGTCAGATATGAAATGGGCAATATTGGCCCATTTCTTCGGAACGTACTCCATAGAGGGTCAACAATTTGAATAATATACTCTGAAAATAATACTTTTTAACTTGGTTTTTATTTATTTTAGTTTTTATGACTTTCTTTGTTGTCTGACAGCTGTTTTGACCGTTTAACGTGGCGTCTCTACTCGGTATTGTTTGGCAAATCGTCATGAATAGGTTAACTCTAGAGCAACGCTTCCAAATCGTAAAAATGTATTTTGAAAACAAACAAGAATCAGGATCAATGAATTTTTGTTGCCAAAACTTCAAGATATGGATGTTAACGAAATGTTGTTTGCCACTTGTCATACTGTGGGCGATGCAATGGACATATTTAAAGAACATTATTTGGTGAAATGGACCGATGACTTTGACACTCGGTTATGTTTGATGGGGATACCTAGAGTCTTTGGTTTACTTGGACACCAGCAACGATTGACGCTTTGGAAACCAGTATTCAACGTGTCATTGCTAAAATTAGCCCTCAAATCTTTGAAAAGGTGGTCGAAAATTTGACCTCCAGAATGACATTTGCACAAAATAGTCGTGGTGGCTATATGCCCGACAAGAAATGATCACCCAATTAACCATTTTTTGTCATTTCATGTGTTTTATTTTAATTTAAAATCAGCAAGCTCTTAAGAAAATATCCATCAAAATGTTTATACCATCAGCCTTATAGTTATAGAGGATATATATTTCTTTTGAAATATTATCGCAATATTTCAACCAATCTTATATTATTGGTAGTTGGATATTGTCTTGCATGGTTGTGAGAGATATAGATCCAATCCTTTTGGAACCTTCCCAACTAACAACTAACGTGATTATTTCAAAAACATAACGAAACTAATAATATATTTGATTAAATTTTTGTATCAGATTTAGATCTGGTGCGGTAATATCGGTACTACTACTTCTCTCAGCTGTATCACAAAATGTAAACATTTATTATTATTATTATATTATTATTATTATTATTATTATTATTATTATTATTATTATTATTATTATTATTATTATTATTATTATTATTATTATTATTATTATTATTATTATTATTATTATTATTATTATTATTTATGTCTGTTATAAAATAAGTAATAGTTCCCCCATGTTCTTCAAATTTTGCGCATTGTAAATATTAGATCGAGTGTGACGATGACTTGTTCTAATTAACTTGTTATTATCTTTTATACTAATAAATTATTTTTTCTTTCAGCTCGGATAACAATCTCCATTGCAACATAAATCGATGTAATATCAATTGTAATTAGGTAAGTAAAACATTATTATTATAAAGAATTATAATAAATATTTCCGATCTCACATCTGTATGAATATGTTAATTCATCATTGAACAAAAAGTAACAAAATTCAAATGTAATAACACTACAGTCAAAGCAAGTTAAAAACGCCATGCCGGACATTAAATAACCTCCACCACTTAGAAAGAATATCCAATATTTCAAAAAAAGAAAACACCGTTTAAAAATCCTGCTAAAATCATAAAAATACCGAATAGTGGGAATTACCGTTATACACGTATATGCAATCTTTGTCATAGGCCATTACGATACAAATACGAACCTTGAAACAATTCCGGTGAATACTGTCGCTAAAATCATAAATATAGGGAGGAACCCTTATATGGTGGCAATTTTCGTTTACAGGCTGTAGCACCCATTATGAACTTACAATATGATATTTGAAACAATTCGGGTAGATAATGTCCATAAAATCATCACAATGCCGAATATACGAAAGTTTAGGAAATTCGAAAATTAGGAAATTCGAGTTAAAATAGTGACTTAAACATTCAAAATACCTCAAACCTGTCGGGCTATACCAAAACGTGGACCCATATAGCCCATTCTCAGTACCAAAAGTTCTGCAAATCTAACACACATCTGTTTAAAATTGTATCGACCTACATCATATCGTTCGGAAGCTAGAGGAATTTCCACAGACGGACAGACATTCAGACAGTGGAAAATCCCTAAATACTTTCTGGAGTATAAAAAATATATTTCGAGGTGTTACAAACGGAATAACAAACAAACAAATGGAGTATGGAAGCGACAAAAGTTGGGCGGGTCGACTATACAGGGTGAGATGAAAAAACTGCAACCGACTTCAGACTGCTCTCATTTCTAAGCCACTCGTCCGACAGTGTCAGCTCACTATATTGTTTACAAGAGTACAAAACATTTTTGGTGAGAATGGGAAGTTATTCGTGATGGAATTCAAGCGTCATATTGTGATTTCTTTATAATTGGCTGGAAACCCACAAGTGGCTATCGTTAGAGCACTCCAGCATTAAAATGTGAATAAATCTTTTGTGTCTCGTACCAACGCTCGTTACCGTGATACTGGTAGCGTAGTCCGACGTCAAGGAAGTGGACGGAAAAAAACAGCAACATCAGCAGAAATGTTTCGAAAAGTAAAGAAGCGACTTGATCGAAACCTGCATCGCAGTGGCTGAAAAATGGCTCGTGAGCTGAACATATCGCAATATTCCATTCGGCAAATATTGAAAAATGAGCTCGGGGTAAAGCCATTGAAATTGCAAAACGTGCAAAAAGTTACTCCGCAAAAAAAAAAAAAAAAAAATAGACTCGAAAGAGCTAAAGAGTTGA